CTAATTGTTACATGTTAATTTTGAGTCATGCAACTTTGCTGAATTTACTTATCAAAATTCTAACAGTTTTTGTGTGGAATCTTTAGGGTTTTCTACACGTAATAAGATCACGTCATTCGTGAATGGAGATCATTTAACTTATTCCTTTCAATGTGGATATCTTTTATTTCTCTTTCTTATCTAATTGTTCTGACTAGGATTTCCAGTGGTGAGAGTGGGCATACTTACCTTGTTCTTAATCTTTGAGGAAAAGCTTTCATTCTTTCACAATGAGTGTGATGCTAGCTGTACTTTCATATGTGTGTTTTTTATATATGACCCGCATTGTATAGAGGTAGTTTCCTTCTATTGCTAGTCTGTTCATTGTTTTACAATTAAAAAGTATTGAATTTTGCCAGATATTTTTTCTGTATCAATTGAAACGATCATGAGATTTTTTCTCTTCATTCTGTCAATGTGGTATATTACATTAGTTGATTTTCATGTATTGAACTCTCCTTTTGTTTGACATTCTCCATTTATATGACATTCTTGAAATGACAAACTTACAGAGAGGAAACACAAATTAGTGGTTTCCAAGGAATAGGGATGTTTGTGGGGTGCAGGTGAGGAGGTGACAGGTATAATTATAAAGGAATAGCATGAGGAAGATGTGTTGGTGGTAGAGTAGTTCTCTATCTCGATGGAGGTGATGGTTCCATAGGTATACTCACGTGAACAAATTACACAGAATTATATACACACATTGTTGTACCAATGTCAATTTCCTAATTTTGATATTGTACTATAGCTATGTAAGATATAACCATTGGGAGAAAATGGACGAAGGATACACTGGATCTTTGTATTGTCTTTGCAAAATTCTGTGAATCTATACTTATTTCCAAATAACAAGTGAGAAAAATAAAACTTCGGTCAAATATTATCTATCTTAGGTGGTCTCAATTTATTGCATATATGCAGATGAGGGTCTTCAAGTCAACAATGCTTCCTAAGGCTCTGCATTTTTAACTGGTCTCTGCCTGTTTACATTAATAGTAAAATAGAAAACTCTTATGTAGCACATAACATGCTCTAACTGCTTTTTATATATGGGCTTATTAGTCCTCTCCAAGCCCCCTGTGATAAGTACTTTTGTCATCTCCATTTTATAAAAGGGACTCTGAAGCACAGCCTGGTTATTTGGCTAGAAAATGCCAGAGTCAGCGAATGGGGCCAAGCAAACTGCAATCACAGTCCGCGCGTATCTTAAAAATCCAGGTACTCTAAAGAAAATAAAAGTAAGTGTGTTCCTTTTAAGAATAAAAACTAAAATACAAGGTGTTTTATCTGGCTTTTTCTTTTGCCTGTTCTTCATTTCACAAATGAAAACTTCTTTTGTTTTTACAGTAAGAATGCTGATGATGATCAGGTCAAAGACAGGCTGAA